TATCCCCAATCTATCTACTTCTCCTTCGTCTCCGTTATTTAATAATTTTATTTAAATAAAAAAAAATTTCTTTACTCTCTTTTTTTCCTTGACTCCCTCAATCTAAATAGAAATTAAAAATTAAAAATTAAAAAAATTACACAAAATAAAAACAATTTAAAAATTAAAAGGGTACAAAAAAATGAAGGTGAAAGTCAAAATTTGATATTTAATCAAAAATAAATAAACAAACATCAACACAAAGAACAAGGGAACAACCTGTTGGCGGAAGACATGATCGACGACAATAGACAAACAGGCAAAGACTGAGCAATTTTTTTTATGGATAAAGAATAAGCGACCGGCCGGGGTATATATAAACATGTAAGATCGGGAACAATGGCACACCCACATCAGGAACAATGGCACACCCACATCAGGAACAATGGCACCCCTCCCCCTCTTTTCTATGACTTTGACCTTACCGACCGCCCTTGACAGCGACCTCTATAACATAGCAAAAAGTATTCGTTTGCCCTTTAACTTTTTGAATTTGTGACATTTTATCCCTCATATTACAATATATGATTTTTTACCCTTCATGTTTCCAAAAATATGATTTTTTATTTTTCATGTTTTCAAATTTAGGGAAATAAGGCAAAATTTAACAACAGAAAAGTCATGTGTGGCACCTCCATCGTTAATTTTCGTTATTTGTTGACGTGTTCATGCCAACTCTAACTTTTTTACATGCTGACAAGTTCAACTTGCACTAAGCTGAAATTCTACCCCAACAATTTTGTTTTTTTTTTTTTTTCATTCCTCACTTTCCTCTTCCCTTCTTCAACCATTTCTTCAACTTCTGCAAATCTCTAACATCTTGACCAATCTATTCACCTCAATCAATCTCTAAATTCTGAGTTCTTCATCATTAAACAACAAAACTCACAGAAAACCAAAAAAAAAAAAAAAAACCCACTGGGGTTCTTCATCATCATAAAAAAAAAAACAAAACCCACAAAAAACAAAAAAAAAAAATTTTTTTGCAACTAGGTTACATCGAACCCGCGCTTGGGTTCGTTAGAACCTAGCGCTGGGGGTTCCACCGAACCCAGGTCTGGGTTCCATATAATTAACTAATATTTAATCAAAATAAACAAAATTATAAAAATTTAAGTATAATTAACTAAAATTTTTTAAACACAAAATTAAATATAAATTAACCAAACAAACTCTTTTTATATTAAATTTTCACCAAATATAAAAAAAATAACAATTTAACAAAATTTTAATAAAATTATATCACAAAACTTATAAATTCTCTATACAATAATTTTTAACCTTTTATTTAATATTTTTTAATCACTTTTCCAATAAAACCTTCTCAGCAAAATTGGATTAGACCACGAATGTCACGAACGACTTGAAGTGGCCCATCCGGGATCCAACCCGCTTGTTTGGTGAGAGGCCCACACCTACATGTGATGCTACCTTTTCTTTTCTGATGTGCGAGGCAAGGGGCAATCCCTCGTTATTTTTCACTCGAGAAAGGATAAGAAAGGAAACCAAAGATTGAAATTCACAAGTCTATTAATATATTATACATAGA